GCGCGGTGAGGGGATGAGAGCTTCGTTCGTCTCCAATAGGATTCGTTGGGAGTTGGAGGCCTACGAGGACGGTAGCGAAGTTAGGGTCGAAGGAAGTGCAGAGCTTAACCCGGAGTTGCAAGAGGACCGAGTGGTCCGCGCCGAGAAGGAGTTTCTAGTAGAAGTCCGACGGCTAGCCTTGTGGAAAAGAAGGAGCTGGACCACACTAGCTAACTTTTCGGTCCACATTAGAGACGTAAGTGGGGTAAGGTCCTCAAGGGCTTGGAGGGGACCTTTGTTGGAGGTAGAAAGAAGATTCGAAGAAGACTTTAGGTATCTAGGAACGCTGCTTACATCTAGAACGCACTTTGTGGAAACCCGATTTGGGATAGGTCAAGGGAGTACGAAGAGACTTTGCGCCAAACTCTGTGAGAGGATGAGGAGACCGGTTGCGCAAGGTCCGAGGACTCGCTAGTCGAGGCCGCCGCGAGGTTGGCTGGCGTAAGGTGAAGGCTCTATGATTAGATACGACCGGGGGGACCCTTATGGTACCTTGGATAGGGGTTGGAAAACGGGAGAGAGGTATGGAGTAACCCTCCCTAGGGTTAGAGGGGAATGAGTGGTATCTACTGAGTTCTTCGAAATCTACGGGCAAGAGGCAGTGGTCTCCGTGGCGTTCGAGGGAGGCAACTGCACTAGGAAGGCAAAAATATTTTTGTCCCCCGACGGCCGGGTAATTTTTGCAACTGAATTAGCAGAGGGAATGGACCCCCTAGGCATCCCCCTGAGGGCCCTGGACCGGTTGAGGAGGTTGAGGGGAAGCACTGTCGGGGGAAGCCTGATTGATAAGGTAGAATACCGAGGGAGGTCGGAAGTTCCTAGAGCGGCTCACGGAAGGATTTGGGAGATCCCGACCTGGGCCTACCGACTACTCTATGCTGACGACGAAACCATAAGGAAGGTCCGACTTAGGGGTCAGGCGATAGAGAAATTTCCGTTAGGTGAAGAAGGGGGGCACGAACTATTAACATGTTATTCGTTAAAATAGTACATTATTGTGTGTATTATTTTGAAACGAATTTATGTCACAGTGTATAGCCTGGTGTAGTATTCTAGATCCGGATACATCCGAACAAGGAGTAAAATCAGCTTTGAGGCGAGGAGCACAGTCAGTACATATATCTGCTGTGCTCCTCTCGTGGTTCGGATGTGTCCAGATGTGGAACACCACAGTAGAGTATACACTGTGTTATACGCCTCTTAGTCAGTACATATATCAGCTACCACTGTGTTATATGTACTGCTGCCTCAGTACATATATCTCCTATGTCCAGATGTGGAACACCAGAACAGAGTAATATATTACACTGTGTCATAGTTTCACTTGGAGTTGAGCATCCCACTCATCCGAATCAGAACAGTATAATGACACAAACTCGAGTTTGTGAGTAAAACGAGTTGTGGGTCTTCACAGACTTAGAGGAGTAGGATGACCTGTATTTAGAAGTGTGAGGACTAGAATGAATTGGAGTTCTGCACCGATGATCGTGTACATGTGTAGAGCGAGAGAGATAGAAAGAGAGAGAGAGACAGAAAGAGCGAGCGAGAGAGAGACAGAAAGAGCGAGCGAGAGAGAGACAGAAAGAGCGAGAGACAGAGAGTCTTAGAGAGACTGTACTTAATTTTCAGGAGACGTAGGGTCGAGCACACGCGTAGACCATCAGCCTCGTTTTTTAAAGCATTTCAGACGATCGTTGTAGGAGAGCAGCAAGGTAATGTGAATTTCCAAGATAAGCGAAGCTCGGATGTATCAGAGATCACAGGAGATAGACAGACAGAGGAAGTCCGCAAGAAATGGTCGTGTACATTTGAAGAGCGAGAGATATAAAAAGAGAGAGAGAGACAGAAAGAGCGAGAGACAGAGTGTCTCAGAGAGACTGTACTTAATTCTCTCGAGACGCCGCACAGACGGCACGAGGTCGAGCACACGCGGAAATCATCAGCCTCGCTTTTAAAAGCATTTCAGACGATCGTTGCAGAAGAGCAGCAAGGCAATTCGATTTTCCCAGATAAGCGAAGTTCGGATATATCCGAGATCACAGAAGATTGACAGAGAGGAAGCCCGCAAGAAATGGCATATTAGCACGCCAGAGGGATGAGAGATGGAAAAGACAAACACCGTATAGTCACCCACAGCATTTCGTGTTACGGACGTATCCGAAGTGTCGAACTAGTATAGACCCTTCAGTTTGAAGCTTCCGAAGTGCTTTTTGGGACACAGTTCAAGACGTATTTTTTGCGAAACTTAGAGAGAGAGAGAGAGAGAGAGAGAGAGAGAGAGAGAGAGAGAGAGAGAGAGAGAGAGAGAGAGAGAGAGAGAGAGAGAGAGAGAGAG